TATTATATATTTATGTTTTTTATTTTTTGGCAGTTATTAAAAATTTAATTTAAAGTTCGATGTTTTATTTGCTTGATTTCTGAGTTGCTGATATATCTAATTTGAAATATAACCCAATTTTAGGTTCCTCTTGGTTTTTCTTCTCAATTTATCTTATTGACAAAAACGTTCAATTTCCCAGATGATAGAGATTTGTTTTTCAAACATTTTGTTCAGCCATTTTCAATTTCTTTTATTTTGTTTAATAAAAAACTTTAATGATCTCTTGGTTTTATCCAAGAAATAACTGTCTTTCTATAGAAAAATTTAATAAGCAAAAAAATACTATTCTTGTAAATATTTTTTAATTTTTGATTAAAAATATTATTTTTATATATTCAAAAATTTTTCATTTTACATTTAAAATTTTAAATATTTTCTTATCACTACAAAATTTTTTGCCATTTTTTTTTTTGTCTTATTTATAAGTGATGGTTTAAATGTTTGCTCACTCTTTTAAAAATAATGTTGACTGCTAAAAATGGCAAAATAAAAATGTTTCTTTATTGAATGGTTTGCGGACATGTATTTTTTTATATAACAGCTTTTCAATCTGTTTTAATCAGATTTAGTTAAATATATATATATATATTTATATATATATATATATATATATATATTAAAAATTATGATGTTTTCTTCCAACCTTGTTTTTTTTGAATTATATTTTGTTTGGTTGATATGAAAATACATTTTTCATTTGTTTTCATTCTTGAATCATTGCTTTTGTATTAGTACTGTCTTATACAAAATTTTAAAAATTTGAAATACCATTTATAATTCAATAAAGGTAAAAAGTCTGTTAATATTTCAAAAGTAATTGTTTTGCCCAATTGTAATGTTTTTAAGTATATATATATGTATTTTTTTTACATTTAATCATTTATAGGTATATCATTTACATCCTTTTAATAAACAAAAATTGCAAACAGCAAAAATTTTTATTTTTTAATATATATATATATATATGATATATCCATGTAATTATTATAATTAATAATAAACATATAATAAAATAGTACAAAATATGAGTATCATCTACCATGTATTCAATTGTAAAACAGAATTGGAAAAATTATCATATTTCTAAATGTAAAAATACTGATGCAATTTTTTTTTTAAAATATTCTAAATTGTGTTTTTTAATCCTTCATATAATGATTTGGTTTATTATTATTAAAATTTGTCAATTTCAATTTTTTTCAAAATTTGCCTTATATGGAAATTTATTGATTTTAATCGAATAAAAAAAATTAACTGGATTAATAATTTAGCGCCTTAATCCAAACATCTCTCTATCTCTCACTTTTATAATATATATATAAAAAATATATATATATATATATATATATATATATATATATTATATAATATTAAACATATTGTTGAATTTAAAATAATGAATTTATTTGTTTCATCAAGCAGTTTAACACTAAAAAAATCTTGAAAAATAAAATGAAAAGATTTTCAACCTTTTACAACCAAACATATGGATAAAAAAAAACATTCAATACATTATTAAATAAACGATTCAATCTCATCTCAAAATTGAAAACAAATTTTTAACATTCAAAACATCGAAACAAAAAATATAAAATTTGTAAAATTTAAACATCAACAAATTATCAAATCACATTAGAATATACGAAATTTTGAAAACAAATAAAAACAAACTCAATGAACCCAAATAAATAAAGAGAATAATAAAAAATTAACAAAAATTATGAGCTATTAGTTAGACTTAAAATCAAACCATCATCAAACCTGTGGAAACATCATAACTGTTATATAACGATTTACTACGATTTTTAAAAATGAATGAAAATGGTGAAAAATATACTATGAAATTTTAAGTAAATAAATAATAAAAAATATTCCTCCTAAAATAAATTAATCTTTACAAATTAATCAGGTAAAAATTGATTAAATATATATATTTAAAATGTAAAATGGTGTATATCCTTTATAAATATATATATACATATATAATATCTTATTATAAAACGATAATGTGTGTGTGTGTGTCTGTAACGTTTATATGTTGGATCGAATTTCCTACATTTTTTAGCCGATTTCAACAAAAATCACAGGACTACATAAAATTACCTTTAATTATGGTTCTAACCAAACCGAAAATGGGAAAAACACAGTTGTTTTTTAATAAAATCAATTTGAAAACACGATTAAGACAATATCGTGAGAATGAAAGGGGGACAACTCACCCACGAAAATGTAAACAAAAGAGCATAGCATGATGAAAAAACGCCGAACTTGACGAAAACAAAATTTTATCGTCTAATGTTCATATTATTATTAAAGAGGAAAGATCAAAGTATTTTTTAATATTTTTTTACATTTTTAATCGTTCCTAGCATCGTCTGAAATTTTCGTTAAAAATATTGTTTTTTTTTGTCAAAAAAAAGAACAGATAATCATTTTCAATCATTTTTTCGATTTGATAAAAAATGTTCATTTTAAAATCTTACTTTGATATTCTTTTTTAAAAATCAATTATCATTTTTTCAAAACTGATTTTTAATAAAAACAGATATTATACTGTTTATTTAAAATATTTTGAACCAAGCTTAACTTAGCTTCTGCGCCGAAAAAAAATGTAATTTGAAAATAAAACAAAGCAGGTCATAACCTTTCGCGTCGCTTGACGATTGACGAAAGGCACATTCATGACGTTTAGATAACTTACGGGAGGAGAATTCTTTCTACGGATGGAAGGAAGTGAAATTATTTAAGTGAACAAATTATTTACCTTGTTACTTTTAAGGAAAAAAAAATCAGCGCTCTAATTTTTTTTTTTTTTTTTTTTTTTTTTTTTTTTTTTGTACTTAGCTTTCATTTTTACGTTTACGATGCTTTATGGAAAATATAAAGAAATTAAAAAATAAGACTGTTAATAGTGAGATTAAATTTCATAAGAAAAAAAAATTATCTAATTAATTTAGGTACCTTTCTTATGAAATTTTATCAGAAGTGTACATAAAATACTATAATTTTATGTACATTTATTACATTTTACTGTGTTATTTGTATTTCCATTCATTTTATTATTAATTTTGATATTTCATTTATGGAAAAATGTCATAACTGAGATTAATATAAAAATAAGATCATATAAATTAAAGTTTAGCAGTAGTTAAATTTCATAAGATGATACTGTTACTTGTAGGTACCCTTCTCAGTTGAAATTGAAAACTCAAATTAACTTCTCCATACGTGTTTCGCAAAAAGTAAAGGGCTTAACAGCGGAGAACAATGCTGAACTCAAATAATGCAACTAAATTGTATTCTGATTGGTCTTCCGTACTTGATAATTACTGTCCGACTATAAACACAAAAAATACATTTCTTAATTACCATGGCTAATCTGATTGGTCCAAATTATACAATTTTCAAAGCGCAAGACAATGACAATCTCACACGAACATTTTGAAAGGTTGATGTTGCTTTTAACTAATGTTAAAATATTTTTTAAAATTCAATTTAAACATTTTTTAAAAATCTTTTTAAAATTAAAGAAATAAGAAATAATTGTATTAAAATTCAATTTTCATTGAAAAAATTTTTTTGCTTTCAGAAAATATTGTCCATATTCATAAAAAAACAAATTAAAACAAATAAAAGCATTTGAAACTAAATAATATATTTGTTTTATTGAGTTTTGTATGTTACAATTCACAGCTGATTTTCAGGTACGTTGGCCAAAAAAAAAAAAAAAAAAAAAAAAAACATGATTTGCATTCTTCAAAGCCTTGTGCTTTTAACTATTGTAATCACTAAAACCGATGGTCTCGAATTTCTAGAGTTTTTCATAAAATTAGTTATGGGGTGTTAATAAATATAAAAAAAATATTTCTGCCATGACTTTAATAAAAAAAAAAAAAAATTTTATAATAATTTCGATCATCTGTGAATAGTTTCTGAAAGTTTCATTAACATCTGACAATTATTTTTATTTTTGCAAGATTTTCCAAATTAATGTGTGTAAATAAAAAAAAAAGCTAAAAATTATCTATGTTATTTACTACCCCTTGTTGCGACAAAAAGAGAAACAAGGTTTTTTAAATCAAAATTTAGAATATTCTAAAAAGATGGAAAAATTTTTAAAAATAATTAAAAAAAATTTAGTCTATCCTCTTCATAAAAACATAAGCATTTTGACGATAAAATTTTGTTTTCATAAACTTTGGCGTCTTTTTTCATCAGACTATGCTCTATGTTTTAGCGATTCCGTGGAGTGACTTAGGTTAAAAAACCCAGGTTGTTTATGTGTGTGTGTGTGTGTGTGTGTGTGTCCTTTATATATGGGATCGGATTTCTTACATTTTTCAGCCGATAAAACAAACATCCACTTTTTTTTTTTGGCAGGTAGTATTTCTTATTGTCTTGCACACTTTTTCTTTATTTACATTCAGAATGCTTTAAAAATTCCATTTACAAGACAATTGTTTATAATAAAATTCTATTCACCAATCGATAGACTCATAACGATTGTAAACAATGTTTTTTTGGTTTGACCAATTGAAAAAAAAAAACTTTAAGACATGGTCCATCCAACCTTGACAATAATCTTTGTCAATTTATGATGGTCGAAAAATTATAAAAAACAAGACATGCGGTCCATATATATATATATTATATATATATAATAACTTATTCTAAAAAATTGAATCTTTGTCAAATAGAATTTTTTTAAAGATTTTTTAAATTAATATTTTTGGGCATGAAGATTTTGTTGAAGAACAATGTAATTTCTTTAAGATTTTTTAAATTTAATTTTTCTGTTCAGAATACTTTTCTGGTTTTCAGGGAAAATTTAAACAAAAATTGTCCAATGTCATTTGAATGATTTTATCTTTCATAAGCAATTATCAAAGATTTTTATATATGTAAAATGCAATTTCAATTAAGCTAATATTAATAAAACTCAATTTATTTTGTTATAGCCTTGACTAATGAACGACTGGAGACACTGTTAAAAGATATTGATTTAGCTTGGAACAATTTGGCTGCCTTTCTCATATAGATTTAATGGTAATATTTTTTTTTTTTTTTTTTTTCTGATATATATTGATTGAAGATATATAGGGAGAGGAAAATAAACTGGACAATATTGTTTCATGGCAAATTTAAATTAATAAACCATATTAACATTTCAGTCAGCAATCTGCATTCATTCTTGCTTACTATCATATAGCTTTCTTCTTTGGTATAAACATAAATTATGCATTTATGTTTTATTTGTTCAGGATTATGAATTTTTAATTGAATTTCAAAATTTTCAAAATTTTCATTTTATTTGTGTTATAAAAAAAAATTTGTTAGGATAAACTTTTTGAATATTATCAAGAGGTGATCATTTTAAAAATATCTCTAAAATATTAGAAAGAAACAATATTAGAAGAAAGTTTGAATTTTTTTTTTGATTTCTCATGTAATAAAAATAAGTATTATATATTTTACATTTCTAAAGATGTTACAGTTATAAATATAATTATTAAATTTATTAAATTGCTTAGAATCTAATGATTTATTTTTAAGATAAAAATAGATGCAATAGTAAATAATATAAATTTTACTAAGCATTAGTATAATTAATATTATTAGCAATTATAGTTATATAAAGTTATTGTTTCTACTCTTTTCAACATCAAAAAAAAATTACGTTTTTATGGAAAGAAAGCTGAGATACTTGAGTTAATGTCTTCCATATTTCTGAATGTTCTGAGATTATGAAAATATTCTAGTTATTGAAATAAATGATATTTGTTAAGTCTGGTTTGTTAATGAGGTAAAATGTTTCAACTAAATAACATTTATTCCTGAGTTTTTTTAATAAGTAGAGCTTTCATTTTGAATGATAACACTTTTTTTATTTATTATTTATTTGATCTTTGTGTATTTCTGGTGTCATCACTACTGAAAATCTTGAATTGCTACCAGTCTAAAAACTTATGATTCTTTCAAGCTCCAGTAATTCATGGTTGATAATATATTTTTTTGTTTGTTTTAATCAATTCACTTCAAGTAAAGCAATAATACCACTAAGATACAAGGGGGGTGGGCACTTCAAGTGAAAGAGAATTAAAACTTTAGCAGGAACCAGAAATCCAATCCTAAACAAGAAACATGGGATAAACCTTTGCTTCTGTTCAAAAGGACAAGGTGGAGTGTGAAACAGATGATGAGCAAAGTTATTGAGGAAAAATAAATGAATACTAAATAAAAATTTCAGCGTTCAAACAGAGACATTAGAAGCATAGTAAACTTGGGAGGTACTGGAAACCCAGTCTTAAACAGGAGACAAGTGATGAACTTCTACTCCTGTTCAAAAAACCAGGGAGGAGTGTGATGTACTATTTCCATAGCAAAACTTTCTATGGATCAGTTCAAGTTGTTGAATATTGCACTGGGTTCTGTGTCAATAACCTTTATATTTTTATAATTATATATCTATATTGAGTCATTCCACATCAAATCAACAATTTGTCTGCTTTATGGCAAGATATGTACAAAATTTAATGGTAGACTTTTATTAACTGTATATATTGAAAAAGGTTTTACACAGTTGGGCCAAATCCAAAATAAACGGATTTTGCTATTTGCCACTATATATAACATTTTATATCTCCCAATGATATATAAAACTATGTATATCTTCAGAAAGCTCTTTAAATGCTGGTTAATAATCTCATAAGAACTATGATCATAAATTCAACAGAATTTGTATTATTTGTGGCTAAATGCTGACCAATTTGGTGGAAAATAAATAAAGAACCTTATTTTTGTTTGTGTTTATGTTTTTATTATACAACAAATAGAATGAAATATGAACAAGTGGTATAATGAAAATAATTATTTTTAAAAAAAATGTCATGAATTAATGTTGAGATTTCATAAAATAATATGAAAATATGCAACAAATGATGTTAATGGTTAACAAATTTTTGTTGACATTTGACATGGTTCACTAAATGTACAAAGTCAGTGGTCTTCCACTTCCAATATATCAAATATCCAATACACTAAACATAAACACCAACTCATTCATGCTTGATGAACTCAAAACAACACAAGATTTTACCAACAACAAATCTCCTGGTCTTGACAACATACCAACATTATTGTGGAAAGATCCAATATTTCATGATCCAATATTTCATGATCCAATATTTCATGATCCAATATTTCATGATCCAATATTTCATGATCTCCTCTTAGAGATTTGCAACCACACATTCATACATTATTTGCCACCTTCAGCTTGACTGAAGGGTGAAATAGACCCTGTTCCAAAAAAGAGCAATCTAACAAGTGCAGCAAACTACAGGGTATAACTCTTATACTAATTTAAGGAAAAGTTTAATTAAAGTCTTCTGATAAATAACCATCATCAGGTGAAGTCCCTTCCATTGATCCATTCCTCTGAAAGAACTAGAATGGATTTAGAAGAGAGCAGGTCAACAACTTCTCAGATCCTCACTATTCACCACATACTGGAAGAGATGAAAAAATTCAACAAAATTATTGACATTTGCAAAGTGTTTGATTTCATCAATAGAGATGTCATGATTTTTTTCCTTCAAATTATAATATAGATTCCAGAATTGTTGCAGGCATTATAGCTCTGTACAGAAACACCACTGCTAAAATTGTATCACCTTTCATTAAGAAAATTCCTTTGATGTTAAAGCAGGAACAGTTTAAAGATGACACACTTATGAAAATTTTCTGTTCATTTGTTCTGGACTACATTAATATGTATTTATCTTGACAACATGGAATTAAAATTCTTGGTTTTGAAAATCACCAGAGAAGTTGGTTTCCTTTCAAGTTACCTTTCTGAAAATCTATAATCTTGCCTTAATTTTTCAATGTATCAAAGATGGTCATATCCTTTTTGACAAATCACTTGAGCAAGCAAAGAAAACCAGGTAGATATCTATTGTCGTGTGAGTAAGACAGAATATATCACAACCTCCCTTCAACCATCAAGATTAAGTCACTCAATTTGGACATCCATCAAAAGAAGAGATGATTAAAATAGATCCACAGAGCTCTTGCATGTCTGGGATGTGTGTTCCAAAGTGTCATGAGAGGATTGTTTGAACCTTCCATCCTCCTCAAAAGTTCAAATCTTTTAACATTGATTTTTCCAGTCCTACTGTATGGAAATTCTTTTAGGATTATATGTTTTTCTTGAAAGTACGAGTGGATGGAAAAATATACAAATTTGCTTAAAAAATTCAGAACATCATAAAATTGGAAAGATCTCTGTAATGCTTAAAATGTTTAAAGAAAAATTTTGAGATTAATCTCTCCTAAAATCAAACAAAATGATTAACTCTTTATAAATTTACTAAATGGCATTCTTCTGTAAAGTGTCTTCTCATAAAAATTGACTTTCATATGGAATGAATAGTTTGGGACTTTAAAGGACATTTTCAGCTAAATTTTTGATGGGACAGATAGTGTGGAAAAATTGTCAGTGGAGTTCCAACCATGGAAGTTGGTGGAGAAGGAGGAGGATAATGATGATGATAATAATAATGATGATGATGATATGTACAAAACAATCAAATTTTCATTTTTCTTTTTTTTATATATATATTTAAAAAATTATGCTTTGATCTGAAAGAGTGATACATTGAAATAAATATTTAAAAAAGAAGATTCTTAACATTTACAAGCAGCAAACCTGTTGTTGAATAAAATTAACAGCATTACATGAGTTTTCTGAAAGTACTTCAACATCAGCTGAAGACCAGCTGCACCCTTCTGGCATTTTTATAGATACTGTAAAGGAATTGCAATTTCTTAATGTCAGTCATCAAATTTTTTGTGCTCTTCTATACTGGTAGATTCTTGATGAGAAATTTTAGTTGAAATCAGTTTAATTTTCTTTGATACTGTTCCTTTAATTCTTTTCCTCATAACTAGTTTTGTTTTTCAAGTTTTTGATGCTTGATTAGGGATTCATTAATCATTTACAGTGACACATTTAGAAGTTGCAATTCCTTTTCAGTATCTGAAAAAATGCAGAAATTTTGTGCATATCTTGCCATAAAGCAGACAAATTTATTGTTAAATTTAAAAAAGTTGGATACATTTTGGGAATTAAAAAGGTCAAAGGTTATGGTTTATTTTGTTATTCTAAAACAAAAAAAAGTAAACAGATCAGGAATCTATGCATATTTTAAAATTATATAAAATTTACCTTGAATAAAAAAAATTAACTAGATATAGATATTTTTTCTTTTTGTGACTATTGTAAATTCACCTTGTTTGTTAAAGTCAAACTCATTTTTTATTGAGTATTTTGTATTTAGAGATTAAAATTCACTGCCATTCAATTCATATCAATTTATTGTTATAAGTATATTCATTTTGTTTAAATCTGTCTATTATTATAAATTATTATTTAATGGCTCTATTTTATTTATATTTTTTTACAATTTGTTAGAGAATTTTGTATAGAACTTGATATGGTGTATTGAGCTTTTTGTTAAGTCCCTGATGCTTTAATAAGAATCTTCAAACAAGGTTGATTATCCAACAAAAATCACATTGTCACCAATTTTAAATTTGATCAGCCATTATTAGAAAATTATACAGTATAAGTATTCTTCATGGTTTGTTTGTATTGCATTAATACCTTCATGAAATTCATATCCCACATTCAAATGTTTTTATATAGTATAAATAGGGTACACAACCTGATAAAACAGATGATATTTATCTTTCTATGAGTGAAAATGTGATATGGAGTCAAATTGAATGTACTTACAAACATGAAGAGAGGCAGAAATTGCTCAATTCCTGTAACATCCCTCAAAGAAGTTATGGTAAGCCACAATTCTCTCCGTTTTGTACATTGAAGAGGTTCTGCTACAGAAATGGTATTTCCAGGAATAAGGCATGACAGCATCAGTTTTTTGTTTTGCTCAATGTCACAACAAAACAAGGCTTATTCAAGCTCTGAAGAGTTGGAAATGGAACAGATATTGAAATAAATAAAGCTAGATC